CTATAGGAGCAGTTTGATAGAACACTATTATATAATATCTATAATTAGGGGGTCCCCGCTCCATCTCGCCATCAGTTTGGGGTCCTTGGCCTGGAAAACGTTGAAGACTCCTGATTTATGTGATGAATTATTGTGAGTAAATCTTTCCTGTTAAATCGTCTTAAATGAAACCTTAACACGGCGTCTCAGGAGCAGATGAGAAGCCGCGGCTGAAGAAGAGGCTTAAAAACATTAATGGACCAAATATTTTAATTGCAGAGCGCAGCTGTAAGGCGGGCCGATCATTAAACGCTTTTAACACGCCTTCAGCAGGCCGCTCTGCGCTCTGAGTGTTCATTAGGTTAACGAGAGCTCATGCACGATTACATCCAGGAGGGTCCTGCTTAGGAAGCTGATGGGATGGGAAAGGCTTTAATGGAGCACTCGTCTCCTCTGAGCAGATCTCACGTTGGTGAAGTTTCCTCCTCTAATGAGACAGATCCCATCAGGCTCCTCAGCTTTGATGTCATCGTTCAGCGTGTTTGATGATCCCACGATGAGCATCCACCTCATTAAAGGAGCTGAAATATGGATGCATCTGATCTGATCCCAGCTATCGGTCAGGATCTGAACACGCAGACAGGGAGCGGCTCCTCACTGGACATCCAACGAACCTCTACTTTTTACACTGCAGGTAAGATAATAACTTAAAAAAATTTAATTAAAAAACACAGTTTAGCCCAGCTGACCCAGTTACGGGCCCAGCTGACACCAGCTGATGTTTATCTAATTAAAGAAAGGGCCAAAACAAAGTCACATGGTGTTTCATCCACATGCCTTTCAAAAAGGGGGCTTCAAAATATTTTTTTTCCACAAATACGTTTTGTTTTATAGGTGTGTAAAAGAATAAAATGAGATTTAAAATTCCCCCTGAAATGTGTAACTCTGCAGGAATAATGCAACAGCAGGTATTCATTTTTAGGCCGCCATCATTGGAAACTAGAGGCTCAGAGCTTTCCAAGGAGGGGTCGGAGGTCATTGTGCGTCCATTTTAGGTGATGTAGGTTAGGGCATAGTGCTTGAAATCCTGAGGTTTAGAGTTCGAACCCCACTCCCAATGAATACTACTCTGGGTCCCTGAGCAAGACCCTTAACCTCACACTGCTCCTCGGGTGCTGCACAATGGCAGCCCACTGCTCCCCAATGGGAGGGGTTAAATGCAGAGACAGTGGAATGACAATAATAAGCTTGGGAAAAAACTAATAAGCTTGCTCTGTTATTCTCATTTTCTATTCAGTTTGGTGATATTATTGGTACATGTTAATGAAAAATGGCTGAATCTTAGGAGCAAAGGCTTTGCCTTAAGCAAAAGGTCTCCAATAATGTCAATCAATATATTTGTCTGGTCAGATTCCCTTTGACGTGTGGAAAACATTTATTTTTGCATCCTATTTCTGCCTACCTACTCTCCGTTAAAACCTCTGTGGAACAAACATGCTTCAATCTATTCAGTTCAAATCTGCTTGAGTTCTAGTCTAGATGTGGATCTATAAAGTCTGACGGTTCATCCAAAGTTTCAAATGGGCCTTCATGGTGTTTTGCAGAGTTTATTTTGGGGAAAAATTGGCAAATCTTTATTCATTTTTTCTGTGTTTAATCACCTACAAATCAGACATGGTGACATTTAAAATAGTGGTTCCACCTGAAAAGATCAAACAATTGTATTTTGAATTTATAGTTTGGGAGCTGAACTTGTTTTTATTCACATGAATAATTTCAGAGGGAGTTTGCTCCTAAGACCCACAGGGTTTAAGGGGTTAAAGTGTTCGGTGTAAATTCAAAAACCCAAATTAAAAACAGCCGAGTTCTGTTTTAACCAGCAATCAGATAGTCGGTGGTTTATTGAAGCTCAGACCATTTTCATGCTTTCCTCTGTTTCATTCATCAGATATTCAATTAAACAGCCAGAAAACGAAGAAACCGAGGACTGAAGAACACCAAGCTGCGTTTCAAGACGCGTCCGACAGCAGATCTGCTGATTTTAGATGACGAGTCCCACAGAGTTCTTTTAGACCTACAAATAAAAATGTTATTGATCCCAAAGGTAAACTAGAGAAGATATATTTTAATACAGTATTATTGAGTAAATTTAATAAACAGTTAAATAGGTTTTATTTCAGCTCGACTTGCTGTTATCTGTGCATGTTTTACACATATGTCCCACAAACAGCAGTTTAATAGGAGACAGGATGGTCGTCCATCCAGGGTTAAATCAGGCATAGCAGAGCTCCCCATTACTTCCAGACACATCATTAAATTAGACCCAATAATGATTTAGAGCTCTTCCTGCTCGTTCTTAATGATCCTGATCGTTCCAGGAGTTTCTGTGTGTTTAGGCAGACCACGGCCTTAATAAGAGGAAGTGTCACCATACATAAGCAGCAGAGCAGAGACGGCTGAAGGCGGGCCATCCACTCAGGGTTACTGTGTGGGTTAATGCCTGAGGCAGCGGGACGGAGAACATGTTAAACTACAGAGGGAAGGAAACTGAAACTGGAATTAAGACTGAATTCTTTGGTGATTTCATGGCGCAGGTTTGACCCGCTGACCTTCCCCCTCCTACAGGATGCCGTCTACCTTACAGAGTGTTACCTGTCTGACTGAAGGAGGCTCTCTGCCTGGACCTGGACAGGCGGTGGAGTCTACTTCCTGTCTGCCTGCTCTGGCTCTCCTCCTCTCCTTCCTCCCTCAGCTGCAGCGTCGGGGCGTCCCCTCTCTGTCCCTGTGATATCCCTGAGCTTTGCCTACTGACAGACGCAGCGTCCTGGGTTTGTTCCTCTGATGGGGGGGCTGGGCTCTCTGAACCAGGAGAAGACACCGGCTTTCCTTCATCTCCTTCATCCTCAAAAAGTTCTGGAGTGTAGAAAACGGTTTGGTCGTCATCATCGTCATGCGATGCGTTTGCTGCTGCAGGTGATCCGCCGTCAGAGCAGGGGGGGGTCGTTACTGCAGACACCCCCGGAGCAGAGCTGTTGGGTTCTGCTGTGTTTCCACCCAGACTCTCTCCAGCTGCCTGTGGAGGGCTGGATGTTTCAGGATGGGCAGGAGGAGCAGAGGCCTGTGGGCCCTCAGGCTGGGGGGGTCCATCCGGGGGTTTCCCTTTAAAGATGGGCTTCCTGAAGGCGGCGCTGCCAGAGCTGGAGGTGAAAATGTGATACGAAGGCCGGGCTGTGAGCAGCTGGGCTGGGGTGCGTTGCAGCGTCTTCAGGGACTCTGCAGGGACAAAAAGCATCCAGAGTCTAGTCACAGAGCAGAGGAAGTCCTGCCTAGCTGCTGCAGCGCCGCGGCAGGACAGGAAGACAGCGTGGGCATACGCTCAATATCACCCAAACAAAGCTCCGCAGGAATTAATTAAAAGCAACAGTCCCACATCTGCTCATCAGCCCAATTCAGACACGCTGCAGACCTTACAGTAATGAGGCTAGTGA